CTATGTATTTTAAGGTTTCTTTTGGATTCTCATCAAAAGAGAATTTCTTCTATTTTTGCTTGGTAGACTCTTGAACGTCCTTCCTCCCCCAGTCTCCAACCCCCCAATACTCCCAGACAGCCACCAAAAGCAATTGAGAGGTCAGAGGTCAAGGCAGGAGTCAAAGGACACCAGTCTGGTTCCCTGAACAAAGGTTGAGGGTCAGACATTGAAAACTGAAAGGGTGATGAAAACCTCTGCATTCGTGAGCCAATTCATTGGCCCCTGCTCCTGGGGAGCGAGTGCAGAACACCCGGATCCTGTGGGCAGAGCCAACAAAACGCTGGCTAAGGTGAAACCATCACAGAGAGGCAGAGCTTTCCAGAAACAAGATTTGCTTCTCAGAGCCCTGCTATTATCGTGTTCATACATTCCACTCACCATTCCAAGCAGCGCTCGTGGTCTGCTGTCTGTGAGCAGGGCACCAGGAGGAGGGAGGGAAGGGCATTTTATTCACGAAGTCAAAAGACTTGGGATGTCCCTTCCTCCACGTGGTGTAGTGGGGTGTCGCCTCAGAGGGCTGAGCACCTGTGACCTCTCAGGTTTGGTCTCCCTGCCTCCCATCAGTTATTTCAGACTAGACTCACTAGCCCTCACTCCCTTCTTTCCCTGATGGGAGTAATTTTTGTTCTGGAAAGAGAACTTTGGTGCCTGCCAACTTAGGGCAACTCACACCTCAAAAGCTTATCGTGCCTTTGCCAGTTTGGCTCAATGGATAGAGCGTCGGCCTGTGGACAGAGGGTTCTGGGTTCGATTCCAGTCAAGAGCATGTTCCTTGGCTCAGGCTCGATTCCCAGCCCCGGTGGAGGTGTGTGTAGGAGGCAACCAATTGATGTATCTCCCTCACATCAATGTTTTTTTCTCTCTGTCTTTCCCTTCCCTTTCACTCTTTCTAAAAATATAAAAAATAAAAAATAAACCAATGGAAAAATATTTTCAGGCGAGGACTAACAAAAAACAAACAAACAAACAAACAAAAAGCTGATGGGGTTCAGGCCCTGTATTCAGACTCTGCTTGTGCAGACTCCTCCAGTGGCCTCCTGAGGAAGGCCTTGGTAAGCAGCTGCCCCTCCCTGCCCAGCAGCGGCTGGCTGCTCTCTTAAGAGTAAAGGGGATGGGTTCTCTGAGAATCTGTGTGGTCCTTGACTCTTTATCACCAATTCGCTGGTATGCATTCAAACGTGTTTACTGAGTTAATACTAACAGTAATAGCAACAAAAATAGTCATAAATGTATTCAGAAAGAGAATAATATATTCATGAGAGAGGATGATTATACAGCCCAAGGTGGGAGCTTATGTGTGAACTGGTTTTTTCTTTGTATTTTTCTGTAGTTAAAACATTTTCTGTGATAAGCAGATTAATTTTAAAACCAGAAAATAAAAATACTATTTTAAAATGCAATCGATTACTTATGAACAAAGCACTCTTTATAGCATGGTGTAGAGATAGATTTCTGCCCAAGGAGCAGGATTACCTTCCCACCTAAAACCAGGCAAAATATATACCAGTAAGTACAGTTTTCAGACATTTTACAACATGCAATGCAAGACAGTGATACCTGAAAGAATAGAAACAAGAGAGGGATTCCATGAAGTATCCCCAGATGACTACCTGGAGAGAGTTTCAATCTGCAGAGAGCGGGGGAGGAACCCAGATGAGCCCAGTGGTGCCTGAATTGAGGGAGCTGATGTGAGATTAGGGAGACTATCATAGTTAATTTTATGTCAGCCTGGGTAGGCCAGAATACCCAGATATTTCTGGATGTTCCTATGAAAACATTTGCTTTGGACTGAATGTTTGTGTCCCCCCTAATTCATATGTTGAAGCCCTAATCCCCGATGTGATGGTGTTTGGAGGAGGGGCTCTGGGAGGTGATTAACTCACGAGTGTGGACCTCCATGATGGGATTAGTGCCTCAAAAGAAGAGACACTAGACGATTTCTCTCTCTGCCATGTGAGGACACAGCAATAAGGCATCCATCTGTAAACCAGAAAGTGGGCTCTTGCCCTGAGCAGTGGCTCAGTGGTTAGAGTGTTGGCCTGCACTCTAACCACTATTCCCAGTCAAGGGCACAAACCTGGGTTGCAGGTTCGATTTCCAGCCCTAGTTGGGGCATGTATGGGAGGCAATCAATCGATGCCTCTCTCCCTCTCTCTTCCTCTATTTCTCTCTCCCCCTCTCTCTCTCCTCACTCTCCTTCCCTCCTTTCCACTCTCTCTAAAAATCGATGGAAAAAATATCCTCAGGTGAGGATTAACAAAAAAAAATTTTTTTTTTAAATAACAGAAAGTGGGCTCTCATCAGGAACAAAATTGGCCAGAACCTTGATTTTGGACTTCCTAGCCTCCCGACTGTGAGAAGTAAATGTTTGTTGTTTCAGATACCCAGTTTATGGTGTTTGATTTAGCAGCATGAGCTGACTAAGACAGTATTTTTTGGATGGAATTGACGTTTACATGGGTGGACTTTGAGAAAGCAGATTGCCCGCCATGATGTGGGTGGGCCTGAAACAAATAGTCGAAGGCTAGAAAAAGATCAACTTCTCCCAAGAAAGAGGGAATTCTGCCAGCAGACGGTTTTTGGGCTTGAGCTGCAACATCAACTCTTCCCTGGATGTCCAGCCTGCCAGGCTACCCTGCAGATTTTCGAATTTGTAAAAACAACCACAACAATCCATTTTTTAACTCAGGGGAGAATGGAGACCCACTGAAGCTTCATGGGCAGGGCAGCAGGGGTCAGTAAGTTGCTATTGGAAGATGCCTTGGGCTGAACTGGCGAAGTGAAAGCCTAAAGCTCCATGTAAGGGGCTTGGAGGAGCCGAGGGGGCTCTCTGAGGGGAGAGGATGGGCTCTGTGGAGTCAGAGGGTGGAAAGAATGAGGAGTCAGCAAGAAGACCAGGCCAAGGAGAAGGTGTGGAGGGAAAGGGCCGTGCAGACATTAGCTGGTATAGTAACGAGGGGAACCAGGGGCGCCACAAGGCAAAGAAGATGAATTCTTTTAGGCAGGGGGTCATCACCATTGTGCATCGAGCAGAATGAGCATGGGCAACAGGCCCTTGTGAAGCATCAAGAGGCCATTGGTGCCATTCCAGGAGCCATTTCAGTAATGTCACTGCAGATTCAGGGGTGGTCCCAACCAGCAGCCAAGGGATGGGAGAGGGACGGGCAATGAGGAGATGGAGGGGTCGAAGTTCCTCGTGAAAGAAGGGACGGTTAAGGTAGCTCCTTTGGCAGCGACGGGCTCAGGCGCAACTTGTTTAGAATTGCTTCTGGTTTTGTTGTCATTTTCTCCACATCAGACATTCCTTGAGCAGTTACTGCCATCAGACACGGCTAGGCAGCATACAGGGAAGCAAGGGGTTAATGGGGAGCTGGAGAGAAGGCTGCGCAAGCAAAGAAGTGGGGTGAGGCACAGACAGGGTTGGCCAGAGGAGGGAGGGCCGGGGTTGTATAATCACCGGTGAAGGGCTCGCCTGCTGCTTCTGAGTCCAGAAAGGAGAGAAAGTCTGGGAGATGCAGGGAACTCTGAGGGTGAACAAGTGTGGCCTCCTTCCGCCCTGTGAGTCATGAGGGTTTCCCGGAAGCATTTCCTGCTCTTGGTCCCAGGCTGCTTGGCCTTGTTCCCTGGGTCCTGATTGTTGGTCCCTGAACTTGTGGCCGTGCTCTGTCTGCCTACTTGTTCTCATGGCAATTTCTGACCCGAAGGGATTCCAGGATGTGAGGGAAAGGTATGTTTGGGGCTGGAAAGAAGGCCTCCTTGTAAAAGTCTCCTGGGGACATGTAATTTAAACTTTTGTTGCTGACGAGAGCTTGCTCCTCATTTTCCTGAATGACTCAAATGTTCGCTGCAGACAATGGCAGAGTGTATCTTGCTTGAATCATTGGATTTCTGTTATTTTTGTAAGCTGTGGGTGGGCAATATGACTCAGTATTTTTCCGAGAGATGTGAAAATTATATTCCCTGTTTTGGATTATTTCATGCTAAGATCTGGAACATTTTTTTTTTTGAATTTCAAATCTTGGAGCTTGGAGAATTTTTGTTGTTGTTTTGCCTCTCAACCATTTCAGAACTTTTCCAGATAAAATTTTAAAGGAAAATTAGTTAGCAATAGCTCAAAGTTATGAAGTATGTTTTGAATTGTAACTTGCTCTACATTTTTAAAATAGAAGATTTGCTAAATAGTGGTGTGATTGTCATCTGATTGTGAAAAAATTGGAGATGGTGGGATTAGTAGAGTCTTGAAAATCATTTAGTTCCATACCTTTTCTGAGGGTGAACAACCTCAGACTAGTTTTTCAGCTTCTGCATGGGCACCTCTCGCTGACCGCTGGGTTCTGGTGATGGAGCGCCTTTGGGTACCAAGCAGTATAGCTTCTGTACAGTACGTACTTTCATACCAAGCTAAAACCTGCCTCCCTGAAGCCATCATTCTGATCCCTGTTCTCTATGAATGTCTACTGGATTATTGTGTGACAGGATGGTAGTTTTAAAAATATTTACTGTTATTGCTCGATTGGAGTAGCTCAGTGGTTGAATGTCAACCTATGAACCAGGAGGTCACAGTTTGATTCCCGGTCAGGGCACATGCCCGGATTTCAGGATTGATTCCCAGTGGCAGTTGTGCAGGAGGCAGCCAATCAATGATTCTCTCTCATCATTGGTGTTTCTATCTCTCTCTCCCTCTCCCTTCCTCTCTGAAATAAAAATAAATAAATAAATAAATAATAAATAAAAATATTTACTGCTATAGTCGGGGATGTACAGTTCAGCATAGGGAGTACAGCCCATAGCTATGTATGGAGCCAGGTGGGTACTAGATCCATGGGGGTGGGGGTAAGACTTTGTAAATTATACAATTTTCTGAACAATATGCTATATACCTGAACTTAATATAAAATAATATTGAATGCCAACTGTAGTTGAAAAATAAAATAAATAAGAAAAGATAGAATACTTACTGCGGTATTTTCCATTTTGGTAATTGAGGTCCTTCCTCAGCGGTTTTGTTGAGTGTCGATGCTGGGACAAGAAGCTGCAGCTTGGTGTCTTCAGGAGGGGCAGTGTCTGCTGAAGCCCTAAACCCGATACCTCAGAATGTGACTGTATTTGGAGATGAGGTCTTTAAAGAGATGACTCAGGTATATCAGGGTCTTCGGGGTTAGGCTCTAATCCAACCTGTCCTTTTAAGAAGAGGAAATTTAAACACATGGATTGACACCCAGGGCACCTGTGCACAGAGGGACAGGAAGAGGCCGAGAGAGGGCAGCTGTCTTCAAGCCAAGAAAAGAGGCCTCAGAAGAAACCAAACCTGCCAACACCTTGATCTTGGACATCTAGCCTCCAGAAGTGTGAGTAAATTTCTGTTGTTAAAGACTCCCAGCCTATGGTACTTGGTTGTGGCAGCTGCAGCAGAATAACGCAGATTGGCACCTAAGAATAAGAAGGGCAGTTGCTTTCAGGTAGGAAGACAGGAAAGTGTGAAGTCTTTGGGTGTGTGTATGGAGAGCCCTCGGAGTAACACTGGCACAGAGGAAAGGAGAAACACATCAGATGCAAGTGCCCTCACTGTCCCCACCTCAGGTTCCCTAGCCTGCAGCCGTTGAGGGGCTATGGAAATACCCAGAAAGTTCTAGAGCAAAGGTGGACTAATGAAGCTAATGAAGCTTAAGTTTCAGGACCCCTGACTTGCTGGAGCTTCTTCCAATGTCGAGTGGGGCCCTAGCAAGATGTTCAGATGATTTTGTTTGCTAAAAATTTGCAAAAGATATTTTACATGCAATCGGTCAACACTGCCGTTTCTTTCCCTGTGACTTCCTTTGCATTATACTCTCCCTCTGATGAGTGATGCAGGAGTGGCCACAGGCATGCTGCCATCCAGCTAACAGAAAATTAAGTTGGGATTTCATTTGGTTTGGGTTTTGGGGACCTATTTATAAAGGTTGTAGTCAGACCTGTGTATATTTATGCTATGGCTAGCTATTTAGCAACTGGATTGGTAGCGTTAGCAGATTTCTGTGGTGTAAATACTCCACCAAAGCCTATTTCAAGCTGTCAGTGTGACATCACTGCCTACGGAGCTGGGAAAACTCTACACCATTATATACTATTTGCATCATATAAACACAGTAGATATAAATAACCCCAAGAGCAGAGTAATGGCAAATTGTGGTGGAAATCATTGGGAAATGATGGGTTTCAAGTATTTATTATTTGTGTTTTTAGTATTACTTATTTACTTGTAAGTTTATATTATTTAATTTTTAATAAATAATGTCTATGTTTAACAACTGCCTCTCAAAACTCCTGGGAAGCTAACAATCAGTTCTTGTGAGCAGCGATGAGCCAACTCCATCAAACCGCTGCATCCCAGGGAAACTCCTCCTGCCCCCTTGTTCATTCACCATGTTTTAGGACATGAAGGTGCAGGGCTAGAGTTAGGAATTTGATATGAAATATCTGAGTAAGGGAGAAGGGACTAGGTTTTTAAGTGTATAGAGCCAGCCCTAGCCAGTGTGGCTAAATGGTTAGAGGTCAGCCTGAGCACCAAAGGGTTGTGGGTTTGAGTCCTGGTCAAGGGAACATACTTGGGTTACAGGTTCGATCCTCAGCCCCAGTCAGGGCACATGCAACCAATCGATGCCTCTCTCTCTCTCTCTCTCTGTCTCTCTCTCTCTCTCTCTTTCTCTCTCTCTCTCTCTCTCCTCCCCTTCTTCCTTCCCTCCTTTCCACTATTTGTGAAAAAAAGCTATGAAAAAAATATCCTGAGGATTAACAAAGAAACAAAACAAGGTACAGAGTCCAAAGCTGATGTGGAAAACTCTTTGTCATCAGGTGTGTAAATTTCTACACAGAAGATTTGGTTGTCATCAATGCCTACTGGAAATGAAGTGCTTGCTGTTAGGAATATGCTTGATAATGCAGTATAGAGAATTAGAAATGCCTCATACATTTAAAAGGAAATTTTGATGGTGTATCAGTTACCTATTGCTGTGTGACAAATTACTCTAAAATGTAGCAGTTAAAAATGCAAACATTGATTATTTCACAGTGTCTCGGTCTAGACCAGCCGTGGGCAAACTACGGCCCGCGGGTCGGATCCGGCTCGTTTGAAATGAATAAAACTAAAAAAAAAAAAAAAAAAAAGACCATACCCTTTTATGTAATGATGTTTACTTTGAATTTATATTAGTTCACACAAACACTCCATCCATGCTTTTGTGCCGGCCCTCCGGTCCAGTTTAAGAACCCATTGTGGCCCTCGAGTCAGAAAGTTTGCCCACCCCTGGACTAGACTCTGGGTGCAGTTTAGCTGGGTCTTCTGGCTCAAGGCCTCTCACAGGCTGCAGTCAAGGGGTCTGATTTGGCTTGATAAGGAGGCTTGGTTCTTTTCCAAGCTCACTCAAGTGATTGTTGGCCTGAGGACCTCAGCTCCTCATGGCATATCCAACCATATGAGTCAATTTTCCAGAGCTCAGAGATTTTTCAGAGAAGCTTGTCCCTCTCTATCAAAAGCTGTCTATGAGGCTTATTATTCCTGCTTGGTGAGCGATCCTTGCTACTCACAGTGTGGTCCTCAGACCAGCAGCAATTTATCACCAGGGGGCTTGTAAAAACGGGAGCATCTCAGTGCCCACCTCAAGCCTATGAATCAGAATCCGCATTCTCATGTGATCCCCAGATATGCAAGTACATATTAGTTTCAGATGCACTGTGCTCTTCTACGTCTCAGGGCTTTCTCTTGCCATCTTGTTCAGAAGAACAAAACCCTTCAAAGAGCCAGTTAGGCCTGTGTGTTCTGCCCCTACCCCCTTATGTCTCTCCTATCATTCCCTACAACACTCCCTTTTGCTTCTTCCACTCCAGCCACTCTGGCCTCCTTGTTGTTCCTAGAACTTCCTGGGTAACTCCTGCCCCAGGGCCTTTGCACTGGCTGTTCTGTCTGGAGTATTTCCCCCCAGGTACCCACATGACCACTCTTATCACTTTTATGCCTTTAGGAAGTTTATCAGTGAGGCCAAACCTGACTCCCAATCTAAGACTGCCATGCCTCATTCCCCATGTCCAGGCAGCCCTTGACTTTTCCCTAATGAAAGTTTCTCTAGAACAGTGGTTCTCAACCTTCCTAATGCCGCGACCCTTTAATACAGTTCCTCATGTTGTGGTGACCCCCAACCATAAAATTATTTTCATTGCTACTTCATAACTGTAATTTTGCTACTGTTTTGAATCGTAATGTAAATATCTGATATGCAGGATGTATTTTCATTGTTACAAATTGAACATAATTAAAGCATAGTGATTAATCACAAAAACAATATGTAATTATATATGTGTTTTCAGGGGTTAGGCGACCCCTGTGAAAGGGTCATTCGACCCCCAAAGGGGTCGCGACCCACAGGTTGAGAACCACTGCTCTAGAACTTATGCCCTAGGATAGTGGTCGGCAAACCGCGGCTCGCAAGCCACATGACTGTTGCTATTTGGTTCTGTTGACTAATGAGTTTGCTGACCACTGCCCTAGGATGTCAGCTTCCTACACTAGGATGCAAGTTTCATGAGGACAGTTTTTTAGTTTATTTTTCTTTTTAAAGGTTGCTGCCACACCCCCAATTCTTAGAATAGAGTTTGGGACCTAGCAGAAATGAGTTTTCTTAGTCTACCAGTCTAGTAACCAGGAAATCAGAAAGAAATTCAAGTTCATGGACTGTACCGGCTCCTACTGATCCCTGTCCTTCTTGTTTCCATCTTGCTCAACTGATTTTTAATTATAGACATAATTAATGAACATAAAATTAGGCAACACAGAAAAGTATAAAATAAAAATAACACAATAAATATAAAATATATAAAATAAATACATACAAATAAAATAAATGTCACACTCCTTCCCAAATTGCTCCCTCAGTTCCACTTCCCAGAAGTCCCTATTGTCAAGATTCTCTGTCATAGAACCCAAAATAATTTGCTTATACCTTTGTTTCTTGATTTATCAATGATAGGAGAATAAGGATGTTAGTATATCTGTAATGCTGCCTACTTTTCCCAACCAGTGATTATTAGATATCTTATTTTAGTTCCTTTGCGGTATAGTTTATAACTGCAAGTAAAACAGTAAGCCTTCATTTCTGTATTTATCAAATTCAGGCACATGCTATTGACTCTCTGTTCTGATAGACAAGAAAATGGCATACTCTCTTTTTTCTTTACTCATCTGCCTCTCATTTCTTTATTAGACTTTTTTTTTACATTGTCAAGGTTTATGATAGTCACATTCTGTTCCATAACATTATTATATATAGTTTTCTGTGTTTCAATTGCAGATGGAGTCTAAGAATAAAAATCATTTAAAAATCCATTCTAATATGATAATTATTTAAATATTATTCACCTGTGAACCAACAGTGATTGGTTTTTTAGAGAAGGAATGTAATCCAACGCCATTAAATCTTTGAAGCTTAAAGAAAACTCACTTAAGCATCAATATCTAATATATCTCCTATTTTCTTATCTCCCTTTACTTTAGGTCATTCTCAGCTAACACTGTCTGGCTTTTCAAATCACTTTATTTCTTGGAGTCCTGGTTTATTTTTCTGGAAGTTCTGTTTTTATTTTTTATTTTATTTTAAATTTACTCAAATACTTTCTTTCGTGTG